GCTACTCTGGGAGGTGATGTCTCACCCCTGCCAGAGAAGGCCCCAGAGAACAGCCAAGGGGCCGCAGGCCAGACAGCGAGAAGGTGGAGCCTCCGTGCTGTTGTCCATTCCAGAAAAGGCCTCTCACGCAAACTGCAGTGAACAACTCTCTCCCAGCTGCCTCCTTGATGAGCATATTTACCCCTCAACCCCACCTATTTGCCAGAGAATTCCAGTTGTAACCACTTCCTGTGTCCTCCCCTCTAGTCCGAGACATTTCCATGTGCCAGCACTAGCTACTGGAACCATATTACTTCTCTGTCTCTGGGCCTCAGTCTCCTCGTTTGTAAGATGTGTGGGTTAGATTGGTGACCTCTAAGGCTTTTTCTCATCTCTGTCAAATCTGAAATTTTCTGAGCATTTGGATATAGGGATTCTAATTTCCGGTGCTTTCTTAACTAGCTGTGACCTTTGAACAAATAGCCTCTGCCCTCCGTTCTTCTCCTGTAAAGGACTCGCACACAGGGTGACTTTGAGGCCCACAGGAGCTAACGCATAGATCATCGATGGTCACTGAAAAGCCGTCGTAAAAGTAGAAGGTGGTGTTTTCCGTCCTGGACACGGCACCTGGGGTGGTAGCTGTCTGTATGCAAGGTCCATTTGTCTCCTCTGGTTTTCTCGGCCTTTCCTCCCATTCACTCCCGGGTCCGCGTTCCCCTGGGAACTGGTGTTTGCTCCTCTGGCCCATTGGTCACGCAGCGGCTTTGCCGGGAGTCCTGGTCTCCCCAATTCTTCAGGTGTCCAGGAGTCGGGCTCATGGTGAAGATTAGCAGGCTTAAAATAATTTCAGATTTGTCTTAATTTGGACAGAGTTTGGCCTGAAATATACCACTGGGCTGTTTACGTAAAGGGCTTCTTGCCAAAAATATTAAAGTATATGAGCCAGAGACGAAACCTACTTATCTAACATATGGTTTTAAAGTACCTTTAGGGAACACCAGTTACATTCAGCCGTATGGTTACAGCACAAGCAGAAAGTAACTTCACTTAGGTTGATGAGCAAACACTTTTGTCCTTTAAGGAAATCTCATCAGTTGACACTTCAGCCTTCCCAGGATGCGCTAAAGTGGGATAGGAGCAGATGGCGTGGTTTGTATCTGTACCTTTGGGGCCAGAACCACCTGGAGTTTTGAGAACTGCAAGATATTAGCAATGGCCGATCGCCTCATCAATTCCTCTTGGCCCAGGTTTCTCCCATAGGTTAGGTCTGAGAGTCGATCAACTTGAGGTTCTCAGGGGAAGAAAAGGATATTACTTATTAATTTAGAAGAATAAGTTCTCAAGGGAGGATGCTAAGCCAGGCAGAATTTATGGCTTGATTGTGTGTATGTAAATCATCGATTCCATAGAATTTACACCCTGATTGCTTTTCTGCAAGAAGACTTGCTTCTCTCCTCTGAGAGTAATAGAACAGTTTCTACATGAAAACAAACTTCTCCTTCCTCCACCCAAACTTTTTCAAACTTTTTGCTGATTTCAGACTGCCTGTTCCTCTCCGGCTGCTCAGAATAGGATGTTCTTTCGTCCTCATGAGATAATCTAGCTCTGGCCTTCTTGAGTGTACAGTTAGCTTCCTAAAAAATAACACAGTGATAATAAAAATAAATAGCTAAGGTTAACTGGGCACTTACCCTGTGAGCTAAGTGCTTTATTTACATTATCTGATTTAATTCTCCTAGCAACTGAAATTGGTATTAATATCATTATTATTATTACCTTCCCTTTTTAAATAGACGCAGACAGTTCGAGGCTTAGTTTGATTAAGAAACTTTCTAAGGCTGCAGAAGGAGTGAAGTGGTGGAGCTGGAAGTTAAAGAAGGCCGGCTACAGTCTGTCCCCAGACTTGTTTTCTGCAAGAAGACATCTTGAAAATTCCCCAGAAAAGCTTAAAAACAACCTCTCAATTTAGCATCCTGGGCTGATTCACCCAGGGCTCCTTCAGCAGAGAGATTTTGCTCAGCTACTTCCAAAGTCCCTGCAGTCACACCTGCTTGGGTCTTCGCCATATTCTTTTGCTCACGGCTGTCCTGCCTCTGCAGCACACCTGGGGTAGGTGTGCCTGTCACTCTGTACCCCAGGCCTCAGAGGAACATGGCAACAACTCCTCATTTGATTTCAGTTTTATAGGACTTGCAAGGAGCTCCCAGCCTGAAGATTTTATAATCTGAGGTCTGTTCTTCGTAGCCCAGACTGAGGAAAATGCAGAGGGCCCTGGAGAGAAAGGAGCTGTGTTGCCTGTGGGCCAGCTAGGGGCTGGGAGGTGGTGTCCGTGTGTCCTCAGGGATACAATGGGGGCACTCAGTGAGAACGTGGCCCTTGGGACCTCCGATCCCAGAGGTCAGATTGTATCCCCTGAAACAAAGCTTTGGGTTTAGCCTCTTATGCATTTCGTTTCATCACCAGTAGCGTTGTCTGGTGGTCTGTGCATGCCCCAGAGGAGGGGGCTTTCAAAGCAGCCCATTCTGCAGTGCCTGAATCCAGCAGTGCAGCACCGGCCAGAGGCATAGCCTCAGGTGCTAGACTTGGGGGTACAGTCCTCGTGGAGAGAGAGGCCTGCTTGTCTGTGGGAGCCAAGGGCCTGGGAGTGAGTCAGCCTGGCTTCCCAGCCCCTGGGACAGGTTTTCCCAGAGGTGATTATTGGCCAAGGAGGAGAAAGCAGCCAATGAGGCCCCATTAAAATGCTGCCGCTGGTGAGGAATCATCTCTAGGAAAACACATCCCCTGCAGGGCTGATGGAATCTGAAGGGGTCGACTCCAAGTTTCCAGCAGTGTTTCCCACCCAAGCACGTGGAGGTCACTAGAGGAGCTCTGGCCTGTGAGGAGGCCAGCTTGCCAGGTGTTTCTGACACAGCTGAGAGCCATCATTGCTGCAGTCACTCTGTAGTCCTGACCAGAGCCCTCCAGGTTTGACGCTGTTATCTCCGTATCATAGATGGGGCTCAAAGAGCTAAGTATTATATCTGGTTTGTAACTGTCTGTACCAGGATTCAAACCTGGGTCTGTCTGGATTTTTTTCCATTCCACCATTCGGCCTCCTCAGAAGGGAGCACTGACCCAGCCCAAGATATTGATCTTGGGTGGGCATCTGAAGTAGCAGTGATGGCCATGAGAAGTGGAGTGGGACACGGTGCAGGGCAAAGGCATTGAGTGCAGTGGCCTTGCATAGATGGGAGAGGCGAATGCCTTGTTAATGCCCAGCCACCTCACTGGTAGGAACGAGGGCCCTCCATCTTGTGTTAGCCTGATTTCTGTGGGTAGGTCCATATGAAACAACTTGTCTTGGGGAAAATCATGGTGTTTCGTACCCATGCAAGAGCAGAAGTCTTTCTGTAGCATTTCTGCATTAGTGATAACTCTTGGATTTCACCGAGGCTATCAGATCTCTTTTCACTCTGTTCCCCTCTATACCTCGCCACTCAATTTGTATGCTATTACTGTCTAGCCTCGATTCCAATTCATCCTGGATTCCAAGAGGCACATTTTTTCACATTTTAATATCTTTGCAATTAGCACACATCTTGTAATTGGGATCTACATTTAATATAGTGGGGCTGTTTAAATTGATGTTGCATTTTTAGAATTGATGGAGACTGTGAATTGAGGAAATATGATAATTCATGCCTTTATTCAACTCATCAATCACCCACAATAAATGACAGGCATTATGCTAGATGCTAGGAATGTGGAAATAACTAGTATGCAGTCCTTGAGGTCACAGTCTCGAGGGGGGAGATGGACCAGACAAATTGACAGCTAGAACTCACTGTAGGAAGGGCTGTGAATTTGGGGAATACAGGATGAACAGAGGATCGGAGGAAGGAGGGCAGGGAGGCAGGGGAGGCTGGGACTGCCTTGAGGAGAAGGTATATCAGGAAGGAGGGTGGGAATATAGAGGGGTTAGGCATGGGCTGGGGATGGGCTGGGGAGTGGTATTCTGGACAAATGGAGTAGTTGGAGCAAAGGTTCAGAATCATGAGAAACTGGGGTGTATTTGGAAGTATCAAAGGGTTCACTGTGGCCAGAGTGGAGGGTGTGTGTGCAGACATGGGTTAAAATGAGGCTATAGAACAGGAAGAGATCATGGAGGACCAGGGGCTCTGTGCACATGAGTTTACCCTCTATCCAGAATCCAAGGACGAATCACCGAGGGATTTTAAGGAGGGAAGTGTGCCTTGCATGTGTTTAGCAACTGCGTATAGAAAGCAGGTGGGAAGAGGATAGCGGGTGGCGTGGGAGGAGGCGGGTAGGGTTACAGCTATTGGAAGAGGGAGAAGAGTTACCCTGAAGGATGCAAAAAGCCTCATTTCCATTTACCATTCCCAGGCAGGCGGACCTGGCCATGGAGGGTTGGGGAAGGTGCAGCAAGGCTTCTAGACTTGACTTAACTTTCTCTTGCCTTTGCCCCACCATGTGTGCCCTTGTCTCAGGAAAACTATATGATCAATGATCAGGCTGATCTATGAATGGATGCTGGGAAAAGCTAGACAAGGAAGAAAAGCTTACTACTTGTCTCTACTTATTAAAGAAGTAGCCTATCAACCTACAATGGTGACATTCCAACCTGTATTTGCCAACTTAATTCACTGATCAGAAATTCTTACGATTGAATGGGAGCGTATACCAGAGCTTGGGGAAAAAATGTACAGGAATTGCTGAGAATCATCTCAGGAAAAACACCGTGGTCACATCTCAGTGTGATATCAGATATTAAGTGTGAAAAGTCGTAAGAAAGAAGCAGATAAATGGCTGTGGCTGTGCATGGGAGTCACACAGCAAACGCATAATCAGTGCTGGTGACTGACTGGTCCACCTGTAAGAGACACTCTGCAGACAGATGTGGGGGTGAGAGGTGGAAGGTGATCTTCCACTGTATGGGGGATGCTTTGAAAGGTGTGGGAGATGATTCCTGATGTTGTGACCCAAGACTTACGGTTTTCTTCCCTTCCCACTTCCCTAAACAGGTGCAGTGCCATACATACACCGGGTACTGCTGGTGTGTCACCCCAGATGGAAAGCCCATCAGTGGCTCTTCTGTGCAGAATAAAACTCCTGTATGTTCAGGTACCGTAGGGAGGGGCGGGAAGAATGAAAAGGGTTGGAGAGAGACCCCTTGGTTGGTTTCCTGTATCTTGTGGGGGAACCTTCGAAAGGTTGGTGGCGGTTATGAGCCCTTTTCCAAGTCGGGGGGATTCTGCGGACACGCAGATCTGTATATGCCTGTGTGCATATATTTATTGGTTTTGGGTTTAGGTTTCTGGTCCAATGCTCTTTTCCTAAGCATTGGCTATGATCCCTAGAGCTAAGATGGCATATAAGTTATTAACTTGTGTGCTGATTCTGATGCTAGTGGCTCTGGAAGGACTTCATTGAGATGGATTTCGAGACTGCATGGGAGCCCCACATCAAAGGCTGTGGTGATCAATTAGTGATGTCTGTCATGGGCACAGGAGAGGAGAGTGGTGGCTTGTTTGCCACATGTTTGCCACCCTGGAAGAATGTAATGTAGAGTAATGGAACACTTCTATAACAGGCCCTTACATCTGGCTGGTCATCAGCAGTGTGTGGGGAATTAAAAAGAACCCTTATGTCAAGCTCCCCCTTGTATATACTGATCCAGGAGGTCTGGAGGTCCTTATTTTTATGAAGCTTCTCAGGTGATTCCGGTGATTAGACAAGTTAGGAAACCACTGCCTTATAGTGATCCATTGGGTTAGTCTATAGGAAAAGTTAAGACCTTTCTATTCCTGACTTTATAAGCATAGAGAAATTTTGCTCTTAGGTCAATATCATGGGATTGTGGATTATAGATTTACAAGGCCCCACACTGCCCACCTCCACTCAGACAGGAAGGGACTCCAAGTTGCTTCCTTAATTCACTGTGTGGCTCAGCCCTCTTTCAAAAAAGCCTAACTCATCCATCAGCTGATTCATATTTCTCTATGTCTGTGTTTATGGGTTTTATTGACTTTCTTATTTTTCATTTTAAATGTAAACAAAGTATAAAGCATTACGCTAAAACCTATGGGAAATTCCAAAGTCTAGTGGTCTTGCTATTGTAACTTTCCCCCTTTTTAATTAATTAATTTATTTTTACAAAGTTTATTCATTTCTACTTGCCGTGCTTTATAAAGAGAAAAGTAAGTGGAAAGGGCAGTAAGAAACTACATCAGGAAACCAAAAATTTGCAGGCCAAAAAGGGAAGTTTACTTTATTTGTGGTTTACATGGAAACTGGAAACCTTAATTGGGGTTGGGGTGGGGAGGGGCAGGAATTAGCCCTCCTTGCGAATGACCTGGAAAGTCTCATTTAAAGCAAACAAATGCACTAGAAACAAGCCATGCAAGGTAATGTAATTGAATTCTCACAAAAGTGGTATATGGAGAAGGAGTGTGATATGGATTAGGGAAATATCAATTCTTTCTTTTCTTTTGTTAGTGGGACTCCATAGATGCCCTTCCATGGGTGAGCTGGCTATAGCCTGTATGTGTGGGGCTGGGCTTCATGGAGAGGACAGGTGCCACAGGGCCGGGACTGGAGGATGGGGAGCACATGCCATCCCAGGATCTGCAAATGTTTGGCCAAACACACATGCTGCCCCCTCCTTGAGGAACAGGCTGTGTCTAGAAAATTGTTTCCATGCCTCAGACTATTTTGGCCCATTCAGTACAATTGGGCCAACAATTTTCTACTTAATGCAGATGGAAAATTGCTGATTTCCTGTCCTAACCAAGCAAGGGATGTCAATCATTGAGTTTGCAGTATGGGGTGGGGGTGGAGGGTGGGGAACGGGGCTCTTTTCACTTGGCCCTGGTGACTTCATATGGTTCAGAACATGGAGCTGATGAGAAGTCAGGGAGGTGGGGTGCGAAGGTGAGGGACAGATATTGGAATGTTCAACAGGGGAGTTACATGAATGTGGAATTTTGTAAAAATCTGGTTAAGACTGCTGCCGGGGAACCTGGAAATCATAGTTCGTCTCCACAGTGCTGGGTTATCAGTGACATTGATGTTAAACAAACCCCACTCGACATGTGTACAGGCACTAACTTTGTATATAATATCCCTAGATGTGTATACAATGCAAAAAACGACCGTATGCTCATAACATCAGGCTCTGCCAACTCTTTGAAAGAAACCAACTGCAAAGCGTTCTGAATGGCTATGTTTTTGTTTCCCTTCTCACCCAAGGTTCAGTCACCGACAAGCCCTTGAGCCAGGGTAACTCAGGAAGGAAAGGTGAGTGGAGTTTTATGCTTTATCTAAATGTTTGCTTCTCGAGCCAGTCTGAACAGGCGTTCTTAGAAAAGATATTCGGAGCCTGGCTGGGGTGAAAGCTCCAGGTGCTCCCCGCAAGTCTTCTCCATCCTTATTCTGTGATTCCTCCTAGAAGCACCGGAGGTAAGTAAGGCTCACACAGTGACGGAGCCTATGCTCCCAGAATTTCCGAGGAAGGTGGGTGAGTCTAGAGCCCAGAGCTGGCAGGGACCTTTAGAAAGTGAGCCCTGAGAATCTTGGTTCCCTGGGCAGCTCTGTCAATAGACGACCAGCATAGCCAGAAGTAAACCAAAGAGAATGAGGAAGGTAGAGGGGCTCACGTCTGCCCCTGGCTCTCTTGTTTTGTAAACCTGTTGGAGCTGGTTTTTCCCCACGAATTCTCCTTCATCACTGGTCCTGCACATCCAGATTCTCTTCACTGAGTCCATGCTAGGGCATATGAACTGTGTAGCTGTTATCCTGAAATACTGAATCACTGTGTCTTTGAGTCCAGTGGGACAACAAAGATGTGCATGAACACAGGAGATGTGTGTAATGTGAGTGTCCACTGCTCAACCTTGTCACCCGTTAGTATATACCTTTCGTGATGCGTGCTATGTGGCTTCCATAGCACGCTTAAAATTTTAATTTTTCTTGACCTAGAACAACATTAAATAGCAAATTAAAAAACACCATGACAAAGTCAATGGAAAAGAGGATAAAACTTTAAGGGCCTATAAAGGCACTTTTCTCCTGCTTTTTGAACAAAGGATTGTGCATTTTCATTTTACACTGGGCTCTACAAATTATGTAGCCAACATTTGTCTGAGTGACCACTGTTTAGTGGACAAGTCAACATGAGCAGTATAGGTCTCTGGAATATGCTGATCATAATTTTCTGTGTGGAAGACAGTTTGAGGCCTAAGATTCACTGCTACTGACCTCCAGGACGGCATGCACACAGAGAGCTGGTGGTTGCATGGAAAGCAGCTATGCATTCCATCCCACGTGCAAGTACCGCAGAACTCCCATCTCAGGCTGAATTTGAGGCTTCCCGCCTGCATCAGTAAGGCCTTGGGAACTACATGCTCATCAGAGTCCCTGTGGAGAGTTGGGCCTGCTGAGGGTCATTGTGAAGGTCACAGGTTTATCCTACACACGTAGTTGCAGGAGGACCAAGGCAAGGCCCTGAGCCCTGCCCTCGATGCTTATGCCATGGGGATAGGAAGAAGAGGCAAAGACACTTGCTCTGAATGCAGGAAATAAGAATCTGGAGAACCAGCTGCCCCAAGAGGCAGGTTCTCTGAGAAGATGTGGAAGTGGAACATGGTGATGCCACCACCCACCAGAAAACATGGACTAGTGGGCCGGATGGGCTGCTCCTCTTGCCCTGGGCAAAAATGGGTAAGTGGGTGACAAGGAAGGAACAAGTATCTTTTCAGGTCCTTCCCAGGGCAGGAGGGGACAGCCATGAGTGTTGCTGGTTCCCTCCCAAGTGGGAGAATGGGGAGAAGGGTCTGCAAAGACCTGAAATCAACACCGAATGGTGCTTTTTTACTGGGCTGGGAAAGGAAGTTGCCTTCAGTTTTGCTTGTTGCAGCTGAAATCTTCAGGAACATCGCCTTTGTTCCTGAGTATGAGGTCCTGGGGGTAGGAAAGAAAAACTGTCAGTTATGTGAAACTGACCACCCAGATTTCCACTCCCCCTCTCCCACCCGCCAAGGGGAGCTGAATATATGATGCTGAATAAGGCATACACACCAAAAAATCCCATCAAAATCCCATCCCTGGGATTTCGGTTCTTAAACTGGACAGAGAAGTCCTGCCAGGTCGATGTTGCTTTGCACCTTGTGGATAACAATGTGAGACAGACCTGTGGACATCCCAGGCTCTCATTGGTCCAGCAGGAAGAGGGCAGAGGGACTGGGGATGTCAGTTTACAATAAACAGCAGTGAGCAGGCTTTGCTCCTTTTTAGCTCTAGGGTCAGTGGCCAGAGCATGATTCCTCCAAGGGTGATGCAGGAAAGGAGGGGGAATCTGACGCCTCATCTTGGAGGGATGAGTGGCTGTCAGTTCCCAGCTTTTCACTCCCCTGCCCCGGCTGGTTCCTTCCTCCCAGATGGTTCTGCAGAGGCTTCCTCTTTGGTGCACAGGTCAGGACAGGAATTGAAAATTCCCCGGTGGGGAATTCTGGGACTCGCTCTCCCCTGGAGTCTTGAATTGTACCCAGTGGCCACTCTTTCCCTTTGCTTTGGAGGCTCCGATTAGGCCCTGGATCCTCTCCTCTTTGTCTGCTGTGGGCAGTGCAGTGAAGAGCAGATTTGGGCCACCTGTAGGAAGGGCCACCTGAAGCCACACCTGTCCAGGAAGCTGAGGTTTGAATGGGGACAGGGTGTGAGAGGGCATTTGTAATATCCTGTGTCGACTCGCCAAGGTTCCTCTTTCAGCTGCCACTTAAGAATGGAATGTGCTCTGGAGGGCAGCAGGTGGGAAGACACAAAGGCCCCTTGTCTGAGCTCGTGCCCGCATGAGGGTTCTCCTAGAAAGCATCTATCTCCCTGCCTGCTGCAAAGAGATGCTGGGCCTGGACCCTTGTGTAGGGGGAGGGGTATGGCCAGGGGGAGGGGTATGGCTAGAAAGGAGATGAGGCCAGAGGTCTGGGGTGTGAGGGGGTGGGGAGTTGGGCAAGGACCGGACCTGGCCTTTTCTTTCTCTACCCTCTTGCCTTTTTGAATGTGCTCCACTGACAGGGCTCAGAGGATCGGTTCTCTCTGCCTGGAAGGAATGAAAAGACGTATTGTGCGACCACGGAGAGTCTGGTTGCCAGCCAGGAATTGGTCTCTGAAGGAGAGAAGGAGAAAGGCAGAGCGAAAGGAGGCTAGGGGAGGAGGCCCAGAGAGATAGTGGAGGGAGGAAGGAGAGAGGGAGGCCAGGCGGTAGCAGGTCACAGCCGCTTGGCCCGGGTGGGAGGCCTGGGTTGCCGCGGTTCCTGGGTCCGCAGGTGTGGGGCCCGAGGACAGAGGTGGGGGAGGGAGGAGGAGGCTGTTATCTTACCCAGATGCACATGTTCCAGGAGGGGCGGGAGGTCAGAACTTCAGACTATTTACTTAATCCCTTGGAATGTCCTCTCCTCACTCTGTTCTTTGGGCCCCTTGTGTTTAACGGACTCCTTTATGGGCACATGTGTGGTAATTAACACATGCGGTGTGGGTCCTGGGCCATGTGTTTGAGTTTCAAATATCCATTGATCTGGGACAATCCCATCCTGGCTGCCCCCTCCCCTCCTCCTCCTCTGGTCTTGGCCCTTGGAGAGAGATGTGAGGGTGTGTGTGCCGGGGCTGGTGTGCACGTGCATTCACATGTGTTTTATTATGATCACACATGTTTTGTTCCTACTACAGAGGAATATCTGAGCAGAGGAAGAGGGCCCCACACAGCCCCTTTAGCCCTGAAAATCTGCGGCTAAAACAGTTGAAGGCTGCAGAGGTAGAGATATAGGTTACGTTTTGGTTTTCATTGAAGTGGTCTGAAGGAAAGTAGCTCGGAAGCAAAATGTATTTAGGGGTCAGGAACTTGTCCTGGGCAGCTTCACCTGACGGCACCAAGGCCTGTGGGTTTTCCCACCTTGCCTCTTTTTGGGGTCTTGATGCTAATTACTGCAGGTGATTTGAGGAGCTCCCAGGATAACTGAGCACAAAGTCAGGGGCTGGGCCCGGCCTTCATCACTTGTGAAATGGTTTCTGGCAGTTCTCTGGGAGCTTTTGTCTGCTGAGTGCCCAGAGTCGCAGAGCCCTGGGGTGATGCTGTGATAAATGGCAAGTGAAAGTTTAGGGTCATCAGCAGTTTTCTGCCCTTTGCTTTTTCCTTGTAAGAGATCTGGGAGTTAGTTGTTTAAGGAAAGTGAGAGAAAAATAAAAACATTAATGAATGCTGCTTAAATTTCCTGCATGGGCTTCTGTATTGTCAAGCCAGTCATGGAGAAGGGCAGAACTTCCAAAATCCAACCCATCATTAATTTGAAGAGACTTATTTTGAAAATCTCCCGCTGGCTATTCCATAGATGTGCTCCAAGTAAAGAGTGAGTCACATTTATTTCTCCAAGGTCCCTGTCTGTGTCTCTAATTTTAGACTCTCTCATGGAGCCAGGTCTACAGGTTTGTGCCAATTTGGAGACCTTGTCGCTCAAGTGACGTATCAAGCAGCCCGGAGGGGCAAGCTTAGGGCAGGGTTAATAGTGGGCATGCATCTCAAAGGGGACCATGTGGCCCCCAGCCTCCTCCCTCATGAAGTGTTAGCACACCTGAAAGGGGTGCTTCATGGCCCTGAGCCTGGCCAAGGTGTGCTGGGCTGGCTGTCAAGGGTCATTTCACACGTGGAATGTAATTCCAGCTCACAAGACTCCAGCCTCTTCCCAGCTACATTTTTTTTCTCTTTCCCTGGCACCCATGGTGGGGAGGGGTGCTGGATCAGTAGTCGATCTCTCAACATTGCCATCGGATGGCAAAGGTTTGATCACCTACCAGCCTGGGCTGGATTTGGATGGAGGTGGGCAGCTGATGACCTCTGTGGTGTTGGCTTCTGCTCACGTTGCCTTTCCCTGGGAAGAAACACTCGCTCTGATTCTGTGCCTGCTGAAATAGAACCATGCGTATCCAGCTCCAAGCCCATGAGAGGCAGCTCTTTTGTGTTCTCCATGCATGTTGCTGCTGCTTTCTGGTGCTCCGAGCCACCTCGATGACCAAGCCTGGCATGTCACTATACCAGCTTTGCAAAGATCAGTTTCAAAAGGGGTGTGTACGAGTGTGCTTGAGTGCTCACGCGTGCATGGGGCCTTCCTCCCTCCAGCGGTTCACTGCTCATCCAGCTTGGCTCCATCCACTCCACCACCTCCAGCTTGGCCCTTATTCTGGGGTCTTTGAAGGAAAGTTTGTGCACGAAGACTACTACACTAAGAGTTTGAATCCCCGCCATATCCCCATCT